TCCTACATATTGATTTTTAACTCACCTGAATATTTCTTGTATAATGCATGCAATATGGCTCTATATATTTTTTAGTTCAAGTAATAGTGGTCCATGCACCTTATTTATTGAATAAGCCTTATTTTACCCATTGATTTGAAATATCAACTTAATCATATATTGTTAGACGGATATATATGTTTGTCTCTAGAATGTTCATTATATTTCATTGATCTACTTGATTATTTCTGTGCTGGTGTCATGTTGGTTTAATTGCTGAGACTTTATAATGCTTTTAAATTATTTTAATATTTTATAATTAACTTTTACATTTAAAAAATAAATACAATCAATCTGCATTTAAGAAAGAAAGAAAGACAGAGAGATGGAACTCTTACATTTTGTGACAACCTGGATGGAACTGGAGAATATTAAGCTAAGTGAAATAAGCCAGTTGATGAAAGACAATTACCATATGATCTCACCTCTAAGTGGACTCTATTCAACAAAATAAACTAACGAACAAAATAAACCACAGGCACGGAAACATGGAGCAGACTGAAAGTGACCAGAAGGGATGGGGAAAGAGGACAATGGTGGAAAGAAGGGGAAGGGACTAGACAAAGAAATTGACTGTGGGAGTGGGGTGGGTGGAGGCGGGTAAAGGGGTAAAAACTGAGACGACTGTAGTAGAATAAACATGATTTATAAATTTAAAAAGAAAGAAAAAAGAAACTTCACAAACGACTTTTGACACATTCAATCAGGTACAGCACCTTCTCCATACACTGCACAAATCTTTTTCTTTTCTTTTTGCGTTTCAGGTCCATTTCTATCTCTTTTGAAATAACAAAGCATAATATGCTGAAAATGTTGCTCATTTTTTCCATCTTCAGTATTAAAATGGCTACACAAAAATTTATCAATTTTGATAAGTTTTAAAATGCACACTGATATGACAGCTGTCACAACACAATCTAACAAAATTGTTTCCAATTAAGTTAAAGACAACTAAAGGCTACTAGAACCATCTTATGGAAAAAAATCAACAGACATTTTGGCCAACCCAATATTATCTGCACCCCATTAACCTTTACACGAACATCAGATCCATAAATACAACTTTCTCCTAGCAATTTCTCCTTCAATGTTTTTAAGCAACTCATAGTCAACATGTCTAAAATCAAACACATTATCTTCCAGATTGCCTCCCAAACCTGCTGTTTTCCCACTCTTCCCTATTTCAAGTCCATTTATTTACATAATATATGTATGTGCATAAATACATATATGTACATAAACATGTATATATGTGTGTAACTACATAGATACAAATGAGCTGCTATTTTTACCACAAAAGGTACCAGGTGCAAAAACACCTGCATACTCTTTGTTCTGTAGGGTTCATAACCCTGCAGACATCAAGACCCTAGGCTTGTTCTTGGCTCTCTTCACACTCCTGACCGCTCTTCTTTCTGATTCATCTTTAGTTAGGTATGTATGGTATGAATATAGATTTTTTTCTAATAAAATATCTTTTAAGTTCTGTATTAAAAATTTTATTTTCTAAGAAAATGCTGAAATTTTACTGTTTATTTAGACCCTGGGTACCTTGGTTGACTAAATTCTTGAGAATGATCTGTACAAAAATACTAGTAAATTAACACTTAGCATTTGTTTTAAAAAGAAAGAAATCTTTAGATTAAGTTACCAATTGACCTTAATCTTGATTTCAAATGAATTATTCTCTTCAAAATGATATAGGCACAAGAATGCTGTTTAAGTGTTTAAAATAGTATCTGGTACATGGTAAATTCTATGCATTCTCATCACTGTATTACTGTTATCAGAATACTGACTTGCAGAAAACAGGAAAAGCTAATGAAATCAAGATATAAACATGATAAATACAATTGTTTCAAATGATGCATTTAGTATGGCAGCTATTCAAAGAGATTTAAGGAAAATAATGTGGTCTTATATTTGTGACCTGTATTTCTCCCACTCCTATCCTGGTACATTTCTTGTTCTTCATGTTTGTAAATATGTTTTCAGGATAACTTGTTACTAACACAAGTAGATTAAAAAAAGAACTTCGAAATTACTAACAAAAACATGATTAAGTAGCTTTGACCATTATTTTGGAATTCCATCAGTTTTCAACTATTCCCTGAACTCTGATATAATCTGAACTCATATATTCCTGATTCCTACAGTCCAGGGGAAAAGTCAAGATGTGACAAGGTAACAAAACTTCTGGCTCCCCTGTCTTTCCTCCATGAGTGTGCTACATAAACAATAAACAGTAAGTAAAAATTCCTCCTATTGAGGAATACTAATCCAGTTTTGCTACATTTAAAAATATTTTTATTTATTTATTTTTAGAGAGGGGAAGAGAGGGAGAGAAATGTCAATGTTTGGTTGCATTTCACGCACCCCCTGCTGGGGACCTGGCCTGCAACGCAGGCATGTGCCCTACATTGGGAATTGAACCAGCGACCCTTTGGTTCAGAGGCTCGTGCTCAATCCACTGAGCCTCACCAGCTGGGGCTATTTATTTATTTTTAGAGAGAGGGGAAGGGAGGGAGAAAGAGAGGGGAAGAAACATCAATGTGTGGTTGCTTCTCGCACGCCCTCAACTGGGGATCTGGCCCACAACCCAGGCCTGTGCCCTGACTGGGAATCCAACCAGTGACCCTTTCATTTGCAGGTGGGCACTCAGTCCAGCAGGCCAGACTAGCCAGGGCAGTTTTGCTACATTTCAATTAAAACTTCCATACCACCGGTCATATCCTTCTTAGACTGAAAATGGTAGAAAAATACCTTGACTACAGTAACCTGAAAATGTATATAAATAATAAATAGAATAAACTCAGCTAGTAAGTCACTGCTTATTTGTTTAAAAACATAAGCTCTATGAACTCAGGATATTTTTGACTATCTTTTCCTGCTGTGGAGGTGGCAGGCAACAAACATTCCATAAATATGAACAAATGACTGTAAAAACTGCACTTGTGCTAGTACTTTAATAATGTAACACTATCTATACATAATACTCCCCCATTAGTATTGCTGAGCATATAATTAACAGCACTCTGGCAGTAGAGTGAAACCATCATCTGGTACTAAAAGTTGGAATTTAAACTATCACGAAAAAATCCCAGAAATAAATAAGTAAAAGTACAAAGTCCTCATTATGCCTGTAAATGAAAAAATGAACTCTGACGTAAAGACCTAATCAGCAATACTCTTGCTGCCAAAGCTGCTGATGTCCTCCCAAGAACCTGAAGGAAAGACAGGTTCTGATAACGGTTGGAAGCTGTTATTCTTGTCACCGGCAAGCAAAACAACCAGGGTGAGGCTGATTCGGCTATATTTTAATACTGTAACATGTACATATTTTTGCAAATTTTGTACTCTTATAGAGCTAAACATTCAGAGTTGGTGTTATTAAAGGATTTTAAAACAAATGATAAGAAGCAAAGAAAAAACATCCTGTCCAAGAGACTATTACCTTCCTAACCGCTATGCTATGACCCTAGCGGCTCCTTCCCAGGCTCTTTTCCTAGATCATCCTCTTCCTCTCGACTTCCAAATAGTGAAAACGCTGGGACTACATGCTTACGTCTCTTTTCATCCACCCTTTCTCTCAGTGAAGCTGCCCGGTCCTCAGCCAGTTTGCTGATGACTCTCAGGTCTGTATCTCCACCTACCTCTCCACTTAATTCCACACTTGTGTATGCAAATACCCACTTACCAGCCCCACTTTGCTATCAAATACATGTCCCAAAGCTATCACTTACAAAACTGAATTCTTGATCTACTGCTACTATTCCTCCAGCCAAAAACATTAGGGTCCTCCTTGACTCTTACATTCATCGAGCCCATCCACAGATCCCCTCATCTGTACCTTCTCAATATACCTCACCACTCTTCAAAACATGTTACTAGACAAGTCGGCTCTTACCTGGCCTCTGCAACAGCATCCTAACTAGGCACTCGCTTGTATTCTTTCCCCCAAGAGACTATTCATCTGGAGTCAGAAGAGTCCTTTACAAACATGTCAGATCATCCCACTTGCCAGCTCTCAAACTGAGCAGCTTGCCATCATTCTTGGAATGACATTCAAATCTTCACACATATCATGGCCTGTAAGGCCCCACATCGTCTGGCCCAGGAATATCTCTGAAATCATTTCTTCCCACTCTCCCGCTCATTCAGATCTCCCCAGGCACAGCAGCTTCCCTGCAGACCTTCAACATGCCAAATACAATACACTCTTAGGGTCTTTAAAATACCCTTGACCTTGTGCCTGGAACACTATTAAGACTGCTGCATGGTTTGCTTCTTCACTTTATGCAGATCTCTGATCAAAGGTATCTTCCCTTACCCTGCTGTCTAAAACAGAATACTGCTCCATTAGCCTCTCCCTCTCTCTCTCTCTCTACCTTATTTTTCTTTAAGCCAGTTAAAACTGATGGACACAATACTAGGTCATTTTTTTCCTGCTTCTATTCTATTTCCCCCAATAGCATATACGGGCTTCATGAGAGCAAGGACGATGTCTGTTTTATTATCACTCTACCCTCAATAGCTGTAGCAGTATTTGATGCACAGATGCTTTATATTTATTGAAATATATGAAGTATGTGAATAAATTAACTATGTATGACACACATGCAAAAATAATTCAGGATATTATTTATTCCTCATATACCTACATTGGAAATATATTTGCAACTACCAAAGCACTTCCAAATATTTAAATGGGAATGTCCCAAAGGGATCTAGGCCTACAGAAAAGTACAATAATTGATCATGTTGAGGTTGTCATAACAAATATAAAAACATGCGAGTTTCACTGGTGTACTCTTTCTACTGAAGAGTATATAAAAACACACATACGCACACTCCAGAAAATGTCTAGCATGCTATAAAATAATGGATTCCTCCCCAACGAGACAGCCAAAATACCCCACACCCTAGATTACAATAAGTGTTAGAGACAAAAATGCACTTACCTTCCTTTTTCTACCAAGAGCAAGATATCCACTTTTTCCCCATTTTGAACCATTGTGCTGATTGCTAGAGGGAGGAAAGCATCAACATATTTCTTAAGTATATTTTACTAAATACACATAAGGACATAATTATTAATATTCCTTAGCCATATGTTTGAGAGTGAACCCTTATAATTTTATGTAAAAGCTACCATTTCCATATGCAATAAGATATTGTGTCCAAAAATATGAGATGAGGGGGAAAATAAAATCTTACTTAGCTCTTGCAGTCTTCTTAAGTTCATTCTATCTTCCTGTTCTTGCATTTGAAGGCAAAAATGCAAACTAGACTTGTCCATTGCAAACCAGCCCTTTCTCCACTGATCCAGTGCCTGGCAGTCTTTGTAGTAGAGTTGACCAATCAAATCATAGTCAGCTTTTGTTAAGTTTTCAGCAACAAAGGGAACAAAGTGCTGTTAAAACAAATACAGAAAAGTAATAAAGACAGTGAAAACAGGAAGTCCCTTCCCTATCTACAGATATGAGGGAAGGTGGAAAATTTACCTCTGTTTTTCTATTTTAAGGATTTCGAAGTAACCCAAATTTTCAAGTTAATTTTTTAAACTTGCTATCATTCTTAAAACTGAACAGCTAGTAATGTATTTTCAAATGGCAGCACATTAAACCATTTTTCTTGATACATATAAAATTGGAACAGGAAAACATTCTCATTGCTAATATGTGGTACTTTCCAAATTGTCAACCCCCTCTGTTTGTCTTCATTTGCATCTTTTACTGAATTGGTCCACGTCCCTTTGTGTAGAGCATTAATAAGGTAGCTACCCATAAAAAGACATGCACAGAAATGACTGTACAATACTAAAAAAAATACTAATCATCAAAGCGTGACCTTTATTTGAAGAATGATTTCCCCAAGGTCCTATATTAATTTCTTTTCTGCTCAAGGCTCTAGGAAGGTAGCTCTTAGCTTCTTCTGATTACAACCTTTGCAAACATAATGAAGTATGGACATACTCCTCAGAATCTGATGCAAAACTTTCGTGGACCTCTAAGTTCAACCACAGACCCCAGGTTGAGACCCCTTCTCTGGATTTAGGGTAATAATAACACAATATTTAAATACCTTAGCTATTGCCTCTGTCCATTTCCTTTGGGCTTCAGATGTTTCAGCTCCAAATAAAAACGCACGGTCTGAGGGCAAATAGATCTCAAAGGTAAAGATGGGCCTGCAGCACCCATGAATAAAAAGATACCACTGGTTACATTCGGCTCTTGCGAAAACAAATCACGTGAAGGTCAGTTTTTAAATTAAATTCATTTTGAAAACTGGATAATGCTGTGAAATCAATCTATCATATTTTTCTTGTAATCTCTGTTTTTCTGTATTTTATTCAAATGAGTTAACGGGATCGTACTGGACCCTATGAGAGGAACAGCCCTTTGCCTGCTTGATCACTCCACGGCTGGACACGCCTCAGCGGGCCTGGCGGCACAGGGCCCTCCCCGCTGTCATCTTCCTCGCAGATCACTCCTTTTGCATTTACTCTGACCAAACTGGCTGAAGCAAACACCGTCCAATAGTTCTCTAATTAGCCTTCTTCCTGCCTTACTTCACAAAGGCTCCTTCCATCATCACACCTCATTCCAAAATCTCATCTCCTTACTGTAGATAAAATTAGAGTAACATCCGTATCCTGAATTCTTCCCTCAGTTCCTCATCCACACCTTCAACTATTTTGTGGAACATGGTAAGTATGTATGCTGCTATTACCCACAAAAGCGCTCCAAATGCCCTCTATTATGCTCCTTCTGCCTGTTTTTTACCCCCAAACCTGTTGCATCTCCTTCATGTTCCAATTCAGAGGCATCATCACCATCTACCTTATTGACAAGCACAAAACCATCATGTTTAATTTATTCTTCCCTTCAACAGCAGCTTTTCATCTAGTCAGTCATTCAATCTGATCAGATCAATCATAATTTCCTCTCAACCCACTGTTTTATTTTTAATTATTTATTCTAGTTAAACTCTCAGTAGTTAAGTTTCTCTTCCTCCAATCTCTTCCTTCCCATTTTATTCAGCTTTTCTCCCCCAAATCTGCATAACTCCTCAGTGCCTACGTTAGTTCAAACTCTATAATATGCTACGTTTAAGGCAATGAGAACCTGTTACAACAATTATTTTTTAACTGCATCTTACTGTAGATGCTTTCCCCTGCACATCTACTCATATGAGTATCATTCTATCAAGAATGTTTTATTTTTAAATGACCATATGCTGACATAAATATTAATTATCTAAAATTCTATTTTATTTACTAATAAAGCAGCACAATACACTGAATGTACTTACTTTAACATTCCACAGTAAGACACAGTAAATTGATAATTCATTAAAAACAAAAGCTCTGTTAAGATTGAAATAAAACAAATCAACTAGTACTCAATTTTGCTTTCATAAAAAATCAAATTTGATTTACTAGAAAACAAGAGTCATCTCAACTAGAATGTATCAGTCATTATGTAATAATGTTTTATGTAATTTTATGTAATTAAAAAAGCTTTGTAAATCTCTTCCCTTTCTTATGCCAATTTTTTAAATACTATGCTCCTATATAACTCATTTCTGCAGATTTATTATTTATATTTTTTCATTAATTTCATCACAAATTGGCATAAGAAACTTCCACACCAAAGATCTTCAAAGCTCTGTTTGTAAAAGTCCTCACAAAAACTCTATTAAAACTATTCTGTGAGACAATATTGTAAGTAAATAATGCTTATTACTCTTTTAATTGCAACTTTTTTGAGAATTAAAATGTCAAGGTAGATCTTAAGAAATTTAGCACTTCCTTATGATATTAAGTATACTTAGCATTTTGTTTATATTAATGTGAATAAATCATCAATGACGATTCTCCTTTGTCATCTAGTCAAACCATGGTCCATTAAATGAATGCAAAATATCGCCCTTAGTCCACTATTTTAAATAATGAGCAAGTTATAAAAATTGTAGCACCACATGTTCGAGAATGAGATAATATAAATTTACTTAAGATTAGATGCAAAGGTATTAGCCTTTCAGAATACCTAATATACTATTTTAATTTTCACATTTTAGTGAATTTCCTAAGGAATTTTCAGAAGCTACAGAATTAGCAGGCATCAAGAAACTATTACACCCTTCCACAATAAGCAATTAAAGAAGTAAAATAACAAAACTTTTATTACCTGGTATGAGAGCTATCAGAAAATACATCTCCTGGCTATAAAATGATAGACCTACCCGGTATTTAAATAGAAGTCCTCCTTGTGCACGGCCAGGCAGATAACTTCATTGATATTAATGGTACCATTAGGTGTGGCAGACTTATCATTTTCATAGTAACTCAAGAAACCTCCTTCCAGAACACACCACTTTTTATTTGTCTCTAAGAATTTAAAACAAAACAAATAATAAATTGAACTATATCACAACTCTAATTTTTAAAAATCTATGGTTTAAATAATGCCTGGATTTCAATACGTTTATTAATTTTCTGTTTCATGTAAAAGAGCATGCTATTGATTCATGAGATACAAAGTTGCCACGCTCTGCTCCAAAAAATGTGTACTATAGTAGGAAGGGATGCACAAGACAAAAATAACTGACAGTGATGATGAGTGAGGCAGGTAGATCCATAAAGGACCACCACAGAACACCTCTGAACCTGCAAAAACAGAGGTTTATACAGACTTAGGTAAGAAACAGTATAGGGTAAAAAGTAAGATGAGGCTGATCTTAGGTGTGCAGAGGAAGGCGGGGTCAGAACATGCAGCTCCCTTACTGCCTTGATTATTAACTTTATACCCATCCTGTAAGAGGTCAGCGCACAATGGCCTGGAGGCCAAAAGGCCACTCCTTCGCCATTTACTCTGAACAAACTGTTCAAAGCAAACACTGTCCAATAGTTCTCTAATTAGCCCTCCTCTGGTCTTCTCGTCACATCCAGGCTGCCGCTTGTTTCTGTCAATGAAGTTCCACTGCAACACAGCCACTCCCGTTCAGTCACAGGTTGTCGGTGGCTGCGCTCCCACTCCAAGGGCAGGTCTGAGTTGTGGCACAGAGCATCTGCGCCAGAAAGCTTAAATATTCACAATGCGGCCCTTTTCAGAAGTTTGCTGAGTTTTGATTTTGTAGTTGATGGTGAGCCATTACAATAGTTTCAGCAGAGGATTATAATCAGATTTGAGTTTTCCACACTCTGCTAACTGTGAAAAATGGATTTGAGAAGGTGAGGCCAAAGGCAGGAAACTAGTTAGGGCACTGGTGACAGAAGCCTATCTGAGAGAGGAAGACAGCCCAAAGCCCAAAGATAGTATTTGAAAATATAAGTAACCAAGGATACAACTTGGGGAAATTAAAATTGCAAGGTTGTCAATTATACTTTAATAAAAATATATCTAGATATAAAAAATAAACAGTAACAGATGTAGAGGTCCATGACAATGCTGAAGCAAATGAGAAGAGACAGTATATAAAAAAGAAAAGGTGTTTTTTCTTTTTTTCAAAAAGGAACGACTGCCATTATTAAATACAGCAAAGAGATCTAATAAATAAGGGCAGAATAAATGTTTGTTGATCTTCATAATAAAGAGGTAACTGCCTCCTTTACTGAGTGCTGAGAAACAGCCAGACTGCTGTATCCTGAAAGCTAAATGTGCAGAAGTGGAACCAGTCAGGATAGATCAATAGCCTATCATTAAGGAAGGGACATGGTAAGAAAAATGACAATCAAACACTGTTAACGAAATGAACCGAAGATGAACATTTTCTTTCTCAGAAACAAAAGGGAATAAAAATAAGAATTGGAAAGAAAGGTATACTTAGATCTGAGGTAAGAAGATTCATTTTAATGGCGCCCCACTCAGTTAACCCAATTTCTCCAAGAGAAGGGCTTAGACACAACCTCTTCTTGGAACCTTCGGACCTCTGACCCTCTTGTGAACCCTAAGAAGGTGGAAGTGGAAGTCAAAGGTTCTGGGTTCTAATGACACCTCCATCACTAACTGGACACTAAGCTCTTGAAAAGAGCTTAACCATTCTGTGCCTCAGTTCTTCATCTGGTAAATAGGTATAAAAAGAATCTCACTCAGGATTACAGTGGTGATAAAATGATAAAATACATGTAAAAACCAGAGAAAAGTCACTTTATATGGGTTGTTTTAAATACAAACCACCATTTTTATATGACCTAATAATTTTTATTCAATATAACAATTTAAAATACTATTTTTCAGTAATCACAATATCTGAACAATACTTGTATTTATATTTGTTTATTTACCCAGCAATGCTGTAAGCTACTTGAGAACAAGGACTATATTTTCTATTCTCAAGAAATACCACATTGCTTAGCCTAGGGAAAATTTGTTGAAATTATTATTTTCATAAACTAGGAACTAAAGTTATTAGTCATGGGGGTGGCTCAGATTAGGTTGCCAACTTGAAGAAAAATGCAAAAATAAGAACTGTGTTAAAGAATCATAAAGAGAAGTACTTTTAAGCATAAAAGGATGGTTTGGTGTATGTATTGCCATTCCTTCCCAAAACTCTAATAACGTGACACTGAAGAAATAGAGGACAAGAACCAAAAGGACCTACAAAACACAGGAAATGACTTTCATGCAAATGAATTCAACAATAAGTAAGCAAAGTTCTACAAAGTCCCAGAAAGTCTTAGAGAGGCTAATATCTCAGCAAGTGTGGGGCAAGAAGTTATTAATTGCTACCATTTAATTGAAGACTTAGTAATGGAAGTCAGGAACTATTTACTAGAGGCTGTTTATGCTTTGTCTTCTTTAATTTTGAAAATAAAATTTGGGGTTGTTGCTAAAAAGATGAAATGCTCATTTGCTCAAGTGGAGTCTACAGGAAGGGCAGTAGGCCTGGGGAGAAGGTGCCCTTTCAGAAATGGATCTTTCAGTTCAGGCTTGCTTTATTCCTACTCAATTCTGAAAAATTTGTGCAAATATAAACTGTAGGACCACTTAAGTCTTTGAGTGGGTTACACATTACTGTACATTTCAAAAGTACTCCTTGCATTTAGCTTACTTCCTGACTAAAACCATAGGGACTGAAAATAGAAAGGCAAGGGTTCAAACAGGAGGGATGGATGCCAACCAGACACAATGATTTTATATAACCCACCTTTGTATTGCCAAATTTGGTTATCAATCTTCATCATCCCTTTTTAATTCCCACTTTAAAAACCTAAGACAATGAGCCTTGCTCATTGCAACAAAAAAAATGCACAACCCTGTGTGTGTGTGTGTGTGTGTGTGTGTGTGTGTGTATCTCCCCTAACGAAAGACAATAAAATGTGAAAATTAAATTGTGAAAGATTTGTTATTTTCTGTAGGTTTTAACGATGTAATTTAAAGTCCGGGTTGCCAAATAACTATGAATAAATGAGGGAAAATATTAAACTCGAATGTTTCAAAAAAGTAGGACTAGGAAGAAAGAGGTATTTGAAATTTTCAATTTCTTCAGATAAAAGAAAATTTTTTTTTTAATTATCACCTTACCATCCTCTTTTGGACTCTAGAGACTATACAGACTCTAGATAAAAGAAAAATTTTTTTTTAAATTATCACCTTACCATCCTCTTTTGGACTCTAGAGACTATACAGACTCTCTAATTGTTAAGTTACAGCCAAGAATTAAATTATATAAACAACCCTCAGTGTTGTACTTAAAATATACCTTAGGTCTAAAGACATTACAAATAAAGTCTGTAGATCAGATAACTTCCTATATTTAATCACTATACTGTGGTTATTTCAGAGGAATGCCCTTATTTTTAAGAAATATAGACTGAGATACTTTGGACCAATTAGGGGCATCAAGTCTGCAACTTAAATAATTCTCAAAATATGTACGCACATGTAACAAAATGTTAATTATCTGGGATTTCTGGGGGAAAGTATATGGAAATTCTTTGTACTATACTTGCAACTTTCTTTATGTCTGAAATTACGTTAAAATAATTCAAAATTAGAAGAAATATTTGTTAACCTTTAAATTCCTGTTATCATAGGTGAGGTGATTGTGACAAGTAGAGCAAAGAAAACAAAATGATGTGGTTCAGCCACAAACACCAGTATGAGGAAAAACACTCAAAAGGTAGAAACTCTGACAAGTGTAAGATCACTGTATTCTGAGAAACTGACTGCCACCTGAAAAGATGAAACGTAACAGGCAGAAGAAAACGCACCAAGAGTTTCTTTATGGGTACTGGGCAAGAAAGCTAACCGAGCCCCAATCAATTCCTGCTGGAAGGCGATGTGTGTACTGTTCCGGGACCTCAAATTCTGAGCCACAGTGCTTACTCTGCATAGCTACGTGAAAGTAACAAAAGGCCATTATTTCTAAATGACTATTTGTTGCAGATTTCTAAATTATAAAAAGAAGTCCAAGTACTAATTAACTGAAGTTATAAAATAATTTCAAAAGAACGCACTCCGATGCCTAGACTAACTTCATAAAGAATAAAGGAAAAAAATGTACACTTATTCAGTACACAGCTGAGCATGAGTGCAGATGAGGCATTCCACCCATCCTTGGGCAGAACGTAATCCAATCTAAGGGGATCTGAGGTTGGAATAACATCCACAACAACCATAACGTGGTTCCTTTCAGGGTGAGAATCATGCACAGAGGGAAGCCACCCTTGGTCTGAATTGAAAAGAAAAATTTCACAGAAAAACACAGCTTTTGAAATAGTCATTTATGACTGAAAAGGCGTGTCTCTAACATAGCAAAAAATGCATTCTGAACTGCAGTCATTCCATAATTCTGGGGAAAAACGGCACGAGGAAAGTCACAGAAAGGGGAAGCTGCTGGAAACCTGCTTGGACAGAGACCCCTGCTACACATAAAGCAGGCGATGGGAAACAAGACTGCAGGCTCACAGCAGGGGCCAGGCCCCAGAAGCCTCACGTGACAGGTGCGCAGGAGCCTGTGCCTTTCTCAGTAGCCAAGTGGGAGCCCTTGGAAGGTCTTAAACAATATGTGCCAAATAGATGTAAATGTAAATGCAGAATCTGATTATGCACATTCTAATGAGAAACAAATGACAGACCTCTTTAAAAAGGTGAGTACAAACTCATTTTGAGTTTGGAATGCAAACTTAAGGAGATTGAGTCCTATAGCATTATCATTCCTATAACCCTTGATTAGCTTCATTTTTATAAGTGATTATGGGCCAGAGGTCGGACAAGGGAGGTGCAGCTATTACCTTTGAGAATTTAGAATAACAAAGCTGTGATAGCACATCTTGACATTCCTATCCATTTGGGAAGCAACGAAAGCTTTAACAAAATTATGTTGGGGTGCATTGGTCCGCACAGACCAATTTAGGCCTGCTCTGCAGACTCTGGCCTTGAGAAATGTCAGCGCTATTCGTGACACCTTGTCGGCTACAGAAGAAGTCTGCCTATCATGAAGTCGCCAGAAGATATCCAACAGAAACGACACTGAGAGTGGGAGAGGGCCCACGCTCAGTGGATAACCCTCAGAGTGCAGGCTGTTTAGTAAGTGATTGGCCTGACTGGGGGGTGCTGCTCACTCCTTCCAGTCAATCCTAATGTTTAGATCAGGCAAGACGAACATTTCGAGAATTCATCAAGCACAGGTAAAGGGCTCCAGGGGTAACCTATCGAAATTCGACTATGAAGTGACAGCGATACTATAGCTTGGTACCTGGGTTGTCACCTGCAGCCGGGAGGATGTGTCTACACTCAAGGGCTAAGTGGAAACCAGAACCAGCCCCTCCGCGGCTCCTCCTTCTCCTTATCACCCCCTCAGCATCGCATTTTTGTGCCGTGCACTCTTCTACACACTTTATACGCACTAACTCACGGAAGTCTCAGAACAACCCCATTAGGCCAGTTCTCTTAGTATATACCCCATCCTTGTGTCCTTGTGTTACAAACGTGTAACAGGCACAGGACAGTAATGGACTTCCCGAAGATCACACAAGTACTTAGCATCAGAGCTGGAGGCAGAACCCAGGCAGTTAGTTCAGGAAGCTACAGTCTTGACTACTTCATATACTACCCCTCTGTGCCTGTTACACATTTGAAGCAAGTATGTCCATTTTTAAACTGTTAGGGTAGAGGAGTGGCCATGCCTGCTACTGCTTATGTGCATTGAGTCTGAGATAGTTAAAGTGGCACTGTTATTTTTAGAAAGCACAAAGTCGTTTCCTGATGAAGGATTACCTGATAGTATTCAACATTCACTGGCAATAATAATACACACTAGGAATCCTTTTCATTTAAACATGTGTCTTTGCCCTGACCAGTGTGACTCAGTTGGCTGGGCATCATCCCACAAAGCAAAAGACTGCCGGTTCAATTCTCAGTCAGGCCATATGTCTAGGTTGCAGGTTTAGTCCCCAGTTGGGGTGTGCGAGAGGCAACTAAAACATTGATGTAACTCTCCCTCTCTTTCTCCCTCCCTTCCCCTAAAAATAATTTAGAATATTTGTGTTTTAGCCTTGTAAAAACTTTTTTAAAACTATATAAGCTAGGCATTTATACAACAACAGATCTTCAAACTTTCTCAATGCCAATCTAAGAAATTAAATATAAACATAATAAAAACTTCTAGTAACCCTATCAATGACTTTCTTTTTAAAAATCAAACACTGTGTAGACAAATCAAAGTAAGATGCTAAGGGGGAAAATACGGCTGAGGGGAGAAAACAGAAAACAAAACCAGGATGCTATTATTCAGCTCTATACTTAGGTTTAACAAGAGTTATCAATCTTTCTTTTCATGAACACTAAAACTAAGAAGAAAAAGAAAAATACAGATCAGTCTTCATAACCAGAGGCTAGAAGAACTTCAAATCCTGAAAACCTGAACTGACAATCTGAAGCCTCTGCAACTCTCTGAAGGACTGCATGCACTTTATTCCCTGACTTTTTCTTGGTTTTTAATCATTTTGCTCTATGGCGTTTGGACAAGCGCTGATGGAGTGGTGCAGTCCAGGTGCTTGCCATTCAAAGGCAAAGGTGACAACCGCGCTTTAATCTCTAAATCTTTCCACATAATTTATCTTTTCCATAAAGCTGGTGCTCAACAGGAGTAACACTACAGAATCGAGATGGCAAAGAGAAAAAGAAAAAACAAAAACACCAGAACCGTATGCTTTATGCTTCAGGGTAGCTCAACTTCTTCTTCATTCTTAAGTAGGCTCCTTCTGAAAAAAGTCTCTTGCCAGCAATTATATATTTATATACATAGGTGAAAAACAAAATATTAACAAGCCACTTGCACTTTTACAGTGGTGGAAATGTGGTTAGAGAGATGGTCATTTATTTAACAAACAGTGATCATGTGACTACTACTATGTGCTGATGCAGTTTTAGACACCAAAGGTTTGATAATCCTGAATAAGCCAGAAAATGCTGATGCTTCATTGAGCTTTCACTCCAGAGGGAAGGAAAAACAAATCAATGACGGAGGGATGGCCTTCATGTGCTAAGTGCTACAATGGAAATAAGCAGCCAACTATACAAGAGCAGAGCTGGCAGCGGGAACACACTTTAACAGAGTGCCAAAGCAGCCTCTTTGACTAGCTAGCACTGAACTGATCTCTGAAAGAGAACAAGGAGCCAAAATGGGGGAAGGAGACTCCTTGCAGAGTGAATAGCAATTGCAAAGGACCAGAAGAGGCATACTTTAAAAAAAAAAAAAGAAAAAAAAGGAACATGTTGCAGAAACAGACAGGAAACCAGTGTGGCCAGGCAGGATACAGTAAAGGAAGGAAGAGTATGAGATGGGGGGAGATGGCATGAGGAGGTCTTTCTGAGCATAGCAAGGAATAGGGCTATATTTTGGAATGGGAAGCCATTAAATGTACTTGAACAATGAAAGTACATGATCTGATTTACATTTTTAACGATCACTGAGTCTGATTTTTGGAAAATGATTTGGAGGAGCCAGGGCAGATATTGGCAGATGAATAAGGAGGCTGTTACGGCCCAGGCAGGACACGACAGTGACTGAGCCGGGGTGCGTTAGTGGGCACGGGGAGCGGCCGGCTAATTGATAGGCCATTCTGAGTTTGAAGTAATAGACCTTGATGCCAGATTAGATGGAAGGAATGAAGACCATCAAAGAATACCTTGCCAGGTGATTATTTCCAATGAAACACTTTCTGTGTGTTACATACATACCCAAGGTAAAAAAAATTCAATTTCATACACTTAGAAGAGAATGTTTCGAGATGAGGAAACATCCCTAATTAAACTGCACATACAGATAATGCCCCAGTTTCTGTTTATTGAAATGAATGTTAACAAAAATATCTACAGTTAATTTATAAAAGTAAAAGGAAACAGTGATTTAGTAACAAGTTTAAAACATCAACTCAGTACTCAAGTGATTAAACATAATAAATCTATTCCAAGGAAATAGTAAAACTGATAAGTCTATAAATAGTATAACCACAACTGTCAAAAAATAAGTATCATGTTATTTTTATCCTGCAGGGTGCTCATGATATACCGGAAAGATTTAGGAAGAGAGTCCTATATTTCAAATTCAGTATTTCAACTTGGTATAATGGTTTGAAAAGTGGGGTTAAGATCTCCTACCATTTAGAACACACATCTAGAAAACTTGTAATTATTTTAATAATTGCTGTAGTCAATTCACAGATCATTCAGGTACTTCCTCCTGTCTGCTCATCAGTCAACATTCACCTGCTTAAGGGTTAAACACTGAGAAGGAGCGATAGAAGATGAGAAAAATCTCCGTATAATTCGTCTTTTATTATTAAAGGTTGAGTTATGGAAAACATTAAAAACCAATTGATGAAAGGACCAAAAACATCTAAATTCAAGGAATGACAATGCTGTGGCATCCTAGCGTCACTGGCAGCGCACTCTGACCAATGCCAAAGTGTTACAGTAACAATCAGAACACAATTCAGATGGAAAACTCTGCTTCATGCTGAACTCCATTTCTCATGTAAAAATCAGCATAATATCAACTATCTGGGAGAATTTTTATGAGGATTATAATTAATGTATGTAAAGTACCTAAAGCAATGTCTTACTATAGTACATGCTCACTAAAGGATTGCTATTGTTTTCAGAAAAATCTAATGAAGTACAGTTAATCCCAACGTAATTCTGCTTAGGGAAATACTTTTTTGCAAAATAAAGCATTTATACTGAAATAATCACTTCAAATGCATAAGGATCCGAAGTAACATTTTAAAGTGAGTTTTTCTTCCTACTGTTCCTTTGAGGGAGTAATACAGCTGGATTACACCACCTGGGGAACTAATACCAGGCTCCCGAGCTGCTGAACACCCACCATCAATTGGATGGTACAGCTTAATCTCTCTTAAATTCTCTTTGTTCCAGGAAGACAGATCTCATATTTTCCTGCCCATACTTCTAAAATTAGTTCACACATTTGTCACATGAGCATGGGGCCTGTGTCTTTTCCTAGTGGGCATTTTTGTATCCCTAATGCCTACTTAGCACACGCCTGTCACAAGGAACTGGATGGATAAATGCCTAAGGGACTCCCCGCAGATAATTCCCCAAATCTAAAGAAGGTCATTAAATCAAATTAATTCCCTTCACTATTCGGAAACCAGGTTCAAGCTTTATTTTATTTACGTGCCCTTGCGCGCTCTCGCTCGTGTTCGCGCGCTCGCTCGCTCTCTCTCTCTCTCTCTCTCACCATCAGAACAAACTGAACTACCTAATATTACTTACTATGCTGATAGAATATGCACTGAAAACTTACCAGTTCTTCCTAAGTTGACATTTTCCTATATTATCTCTCCAGTTAGGGTATCTGTCCCTAAGGAAAGGGGCTAAGTTTCACATGTCTTTGGAAAAACCCTTAAATCCTGAAACAGAATTGGTTGGCCCTACAGCAGACATCAGTGAATTCTGTTGAGAATTAACGGCATTCCAACCCAGTGGTAAATCCCTGTTGCAGTTCATGAAATATTATCTGTGCCTAGAAGCATTTATAAATTCTAAAAAATGTATTTCTCTACTACAAGATCAAATCTAACATCTTAAGGGAAAAAAAAATATCAAAATTTAAACCTAATTGTTTTGATAATGAAATACAGTTTTATCAGATAACAAAACCTAAAAGGAGCAGAAAAGATACCTTCCAGCAGTTTTTTCTCCGAAGGGAGTTTGGGAGCAGCAGCAGGAGCCTGGTACAAAAAGTCACAGAGGAACATGCCCTGGGAGGACTCTTGACTTAATCCACCTTCCGAATGAATGTCATGTTGAGGAAAATCTAGAAAAAGTACAGAAATCTAAAATGTAAACAATTTTCCCTTTGCTTATGAATATGTGAGTTTCAAGCCAGAAGAAAAACTGCCTCAAACATGCGACAGAATAAATATGTGCAGACATTTATTTTCCTTTGTGTAAAACTTGAAAAATAAGCACTTAAGTTGTGTTTATTGTTCATATATGACAATCAGATTTAATGTTGGTGAAAACGATCACACAGGATTAATTGTTTTAATCTTCCATTTGTAAGATTAAAGAACCAGAAAACATGCATTTCCTAAACTTTTTCTTAAAATGAAATAAAACTGCTTCAGTCCAGTAAGGGACACGACAGAAGAAACCTGGCTAATGAAGGGAGAGGACTAACCTGAATATTTGTTGTGGTGGAGAAATTCCATTTGCAGACTCTGCCCAGCGTTCTTGGCCAGCATGTAGGGGGTGCTGTGCACGGGGTCGCCAGTTGCACACATGGCATCTGCTCCACTGAACAGCAAAGCCATTGTCTCCAGAACATCTGATTTCACCACAGCAGCACACAAAGCCTGGTCATTAAAAGAAAATACACCTGTTAAAGAAAGAAAATACAATTCTAGCTATTAAAATTAGTGAAAGTCTATCAGTTCGTTCATGATAGGAAGTTTGTTTTCATTTTCAACTAAGAAATATAATTATAAGTATGCCGTGAATTAAGCAGTAGGCAGAAAAGGACTACTTTGTATGAATTTAAATTATAACCCAACATCTCCAAGTCCCAATGTGTTGTTTTGTTGCTGTGACGTTCCAAACCTTCTAGTCCAGTATATGTGCTTTGGAAGACATTTTTTATACCTACACACTATGATATTAGCAGATGCTCAAAAAATTCAAAATATATCAAATGTAATAATGAAGTAGCCACTGAATGCTTTATCACATGAATGTTGTATGTACGTCTGTATGCATTTTCCAGCCTAATCAGGGTCTACAGACTTAATTATTGGTGCACTTTGCTAATTTGAAGAATGAGTCCAAATCAGTAAGTGGGACTACAGCAAACTTAAAAGCTTCTGCACAGCAAAACAACCAACAAAATAAAAAGACAACATAATGAAGAGAAGACAGTATTTGCAAACCATACACTGGATAAGAGGTTAATATTCAAAATGTATAAAGAACACATATAACTCAATTAAAAAAATATTATGAAACAATGGAGAAACTAAACTGACATTTTTCTAAAGACATCCAAATGGCCTACAGGTACATGAAAAGATGTTCATCCCTAATCATCAGGGCGAAACAAATCAAAACCACGATGAGACTATCACCTCACACTTGCCAGAATGGCTACATTCAAGAAGACAAGAAATAGCAAGTGTTGGTGAGGATGTGAAGAAAAGGGGCCCCTTGTGCACTGCTGGTGGGACTACAAATTAGTTCGGTCGTGCTGGGAAACAGTGTAACGGTTTCTCAAAAAAGTAAAAATACAACTATCTTCTCACACAGCAATCCCTCTTCTGCATATATACGCAAAGGAAATAAAAACAGAAAACTGAAAAGATACCTGCATTCTCATGTTCATTGCAGCGTTATTCTTCCTAATAGCCAAGATATGGAAACGAACTAAGTGTGCCTTGTTAAGTGAATGGATAAAAATGTGGTAATGTGCACACAATGGAACATTATTCAGCTATGAGAAAGGAGGAAATTCTACTATTTGTGACATGAATGGACCTTGAGGGTACTATGCTTAGTGAGGTGAGCCAGACAAAGACCAATGCTGTATAATATCCCTTATGTGAAACTGAAAAAAGCCAAACTCATAGAAACAGAAAGTAGCATGGCGGTTGCCAGAGGCTGGGGATGGGGCTGGGATGGGATGGAAGGACATCGTATAAGGATGCAAATTTGTACCTGGCAGGTAAGCAAGTTATAGGGATCTAATGCATAGCATAGTGGTTATCGTCAACAATACTGTATTATACACTTCAAAATTGCTAAAATACTAGGTCTGAGACCGTCTCACCACTAAAAAGAAGTAATAATTATATGATGCAATGAACATGTTAGCTAAAGCTATGGTGGTAATCATATTGCAATATATAAATGTATCAAATCCACAAAAGGAACACCGTAAACTTAGACAATATTAAATATACATTACATCTCAAATTTTAAAAATAGTCAATAAAATATATTTTTTGTAAAAATGATTCAGTGACGTTAAGAGTACCATTTTTAAGAAGCCCAAAATGGAAGTAAATCCAGTAGGTAAGTTCCCTATAACATTCTTAGGAACAATGTAACAGCCAGTAACTAATATAAAACCTATCTACTATCTTAGCCCATGGACACAGTGTGGTGTGGCAGACAAGACCTCACTTGGGGATATCAGGATTTACCACTGACAAGATTCCCATCACCATCAAAAAGAGACAGACCTTTGGGGGAAGACATGCCCTGGTTCTTCAACCTCATCAATTACGTCCCCAAATCGGCAACTTACTATTTATGTATCATTTATTAAGAACTTCTAATACAGTAAATTAGACTAATTATAACTTTTGGCTTATGATACCCTGTTGTCATTATTCCAAACATGTCTGGTACATGTGGTCAGTTATTTTAATGATATAATTACCACTCACTACCAATCACCATCCAAAACAAAATTAAATGTCTTAATAATAACCTAAATAAATATACGGTTCCCCATTCCCATCCCATCTCCCTGAGGTTTCTACCTTAGGTGCCCATTCTGAATTTTGAATTTATTGTGTGCCACTGCGGTAAAGCAATGGGTGGCCTCACTTAACAAATACCAAAAATATACAAAGAAAAACTTAGTTAATGGGAACTAAACCCATAGAAAAGAAATGTAAATCAACTCTCTAAATCTTATACTGTGTAGAAAGTATGGAAAAGGTCTTTATTTTCCAAGATGTTCGGCATAATGCTCCCTACCTGGGGATCCTCATCTACTGAGTACTGCCCTTCAAAGCACACTGAAGAACTGAGAACCATGAAAGAAGCCTCCTCTAAGCATAAAAACTACAGGCATACAGACGTATATGTTTTAAATGTCTCTACATAGGAGAACCTCCTGACACACAGGAAATGGAAACAGCAATTTTAGAAAGACAGGGGGACAGGATGCTTAACCAATCCTTTGCTGAAAGAGTGAAGCCTCAGTAGGGAGCCTAACACGGTCACAAAAAGATCTGCAGTCACTCAGCCAAAGGCAAAAGACAGTTCAAATCAATGGCACTAGGCAAACCATTGCTTGTAACAATAAACTGAGTAAATGACGTTAATTCTGGTAACAGCAAGGCAGCAACGTATGACCTTAAGTTATATTCGGTATTCAGTCCCTAAAACAGGGAAAGCTGTCAACAGTTTAGGAATAATGGGATTTGCCTAAGTTAGCAGGAATCTTACAGACAAAGAGCTCATCTGCTTTTGATGACAACTCCTTTAGTGGAACAATGGGAAACCACTGACACAATCTATCTCACAAAGGGAAATAAAATAAAATTAAACAATTTTAGCAAATAGTAAAAAAATTTTTTACTTCTTTCCAAAATTCTTGGCACATATTTAAAAATATACTATAAACCCATGTCTATTTTTATGTTTTATTGGATACCTTGTTTAATTCTTCCTTGGAGAGCGATGCTAAAAGGGTTTTTCTAAATCTTCCTTCCTTGTACTTCTGAGTAATGAAGGCTTTTCTCTTTTCTACTGGTGAATCCATGTGTAATTCTTCATCTTTTTGAAGATTACCAGCCCAAAAGTCATTTGCTCTTTTGTTTCCGATGACAATGAAAAGCTGAATTATCAAAAAAGTATACAACATATCAGTTCCTAAAGTGTACTTAAATCTGCAGAAAACTGACTCACATTATAAATTAAACCATAACTTAGTATAAAATATGCAAAAACACAAGGAAGTGCCAACTCTTTCAGGAAGATGGAGTGTGAAAGCAGATACTATTTATATTTTAAATACAGTCTAGCTGATCTTAATAATGGTAAAAGATTAGCAAGGAAAGAAATTGCAAGCCACACAAATTGCAGCAAAGCATTATTATTTCTTGAAGCGCACGTGGAGACAGAACGGTATGAAAGGGCTGAGTGGGTGGGCCCATGTGGCTGAGAGCCGTGCTGAAACCCGGGCAGAAAACGGAGTCAGGAGACAGCGAGTTAGACAGCGCCACAGTTAATGACAGCCCATGGCCAGGAAAAAGAGTGGAAACTTTTGCCCAATGTTTTCATCGCTTTCCCAATATTTCATCCATGCTGAGTTAAAAAGAAAGTGAATTCTGGCTTAACGAAAAAGCTGTCAAGACTCTAAAAGTACTTATTACTATTAAAGCTCCTTGTACCTTTTTATTTTTAAAATAACTATCTCACTCAGGAAGCATTCTGAAAGTTAAAGTAAAAAGTTTCTACAATCAAACAGGCGAAAGCCATTTTGATAATGCGGTGAGAGCTTTGTCAAGGAGCTCCTAACCTGCATCTCTGCGTCCAGACCTCAGCTAACCACCAGCTCCGTTAAATCGGACTTACCTCGATGAGTTCATTACTCCAAATGCTCGCGTCCATTTTTAGGCTTCTCACCTTGGAATCATTTGGTCCTAAAGATCTATGTTGTCCTGAAGTCAAAAAACAGTTGCATTTCTATTTTAATTCATGTGGAAATGCATTTCATATTTTTTAAAAAGTGTATACGTATGTATATGTGTGTTTATATATTTTTCAACTTAAAATCCACTAATGTCTAATGTCCACTCTGGGGTAGTGATGGTATTTATACAGAAATCATAATCAACCACAGTGGAGATAATAGCAATTGCCTTCCTTGTCTCCCTGTACTGGCCCAAAACTATATTCTAACAAGCTATATATGTGTGTGGCTATATACGGGCATGTGTGTAAGTATGTGTGCACATCCATATGTATGTATTTACATACATAAATATCTAGTCTTTGCAATGTTCAGTAATTAATGGGAAATTGTAGGGAAAATATTTTATATAACAGGTCTGTGTAAATTACATATATGTGAAAACAGATATCCCTTTACCCTTAAAAAATACTAGCTACCACTCTAATAAATCTGTACTTAAAAATCTTCAGTGGATTCTTTATTCTACTATTTTATGCCTGGAAGAGAATAACAGCCCAGCATTCTCATGTTATCAATTCAATTCTGCTGTGTAAATCAACGCTCAGTCGTTCCTGGGCACCCAGCCATGTCAGATGCTGTATTTCCAAGCTGAGAAGGAAAAAATATATATATATAAGGCCTAGTCCTTGATCTTGAGGACCTTTTGCTTAAGAGCATGAAGGCTCATTCCTCTATCATAAAGGGTCCCTTTCCTCTCCTCTTTGAGATGGCAACCACTCAGAGCACAAGGCCCCAAAATTCCCAGGGCAGGAATTTGCACAAGTCTGCATTTACAAAGATTACCTAAAGGGAGCAGGGGTCAAACTTAGAAACAGGTAGGAAGAATTACAGTGGGTGTTACAGTAGCCTAGACAAGAAATGACAGAATGGAGGCCTGATTTAGAAATACTGCAAAGAGAAAACAGGCAGTTCTTGGTGGACTTTAAGGAAAGAGAAAGGATCCAGAGGGTTTCTCAGGTTTTAAGATTTAGTGCAGGGTGGACATTATGGCTTCTGACCAAGATCTGGAATACAGAAGAATGTGCAGTTTTATGTAATGAACTGGGCGCCAGCGAGAGCTCCCTCTTTAACATGTCATTTTTGAAGTACCTTGGGCAAATCCAAGCTCAGATTCTAGTAGATAGTTGTAAAAGTGCAGTTTCCAGCAGAGCCATCTGCATAAAAATGAGTGTTTAATTCAAACGATAAATATCATCACTCAGGAATATCAGAGTGGAAGAGAAGAAAGCATCTAACTCAAGGGAGTACACGTATTATTTTAGGAGCAGGCAGAGGAAAAGTAGCCTGAAAAAGGACGACCAGAGTAGGAAGAGCACACCAAGAGGAAATGGTGTCCTAGAAGTCGAGGGAGGCTGGGAAGTCATAAAGCAACAGATTAATCATGAGCGTTAAATATCACCAAAGACAATAAAGATAGCAACTGACTGCACAGAAATTGAGAGGTAAAATACACTGCTAAATGTTGTGGAAATATTTTTCCTGGAGTAGAGACGAAAAAAAGGCTGATAACAGATGCTGAAGAAAAACTAGGAAGCTAAAGAAATGAAGAAAACCTATGAAGATCTCTATTCTTGAAAGTATTTCTCTATTAAAGAAAAAGGGACAAAGTAATACACAGAAGAGAATTGTAAGTTTTCAGAAAGCTGGAGTTAGCAGGACAGACTAGAGCAGGTTTATCTACAGAAGCAAAAGAAACCATACTTGAACAGCTACACAGAAGAGTGAGTGATGGGGTGTAGATCCCAAAAAGAAAGGAAAAAAAGGGAGTTTAAAAGTTGTGGACAACACAAAGGCTATCTCCTCCTGAGACCCGAGAGGAGAAAATGATAGGGAAAAATGCAAAGTAGGGGGTGATTAACTGATGCTTTTTGTTGTCGCCACTGACGTTGTTAGTTAGGTCTTTAGGAAATCTACACTAACTGTGATGAGAAACATGGCAGCACTGAGCTCTAGGAAAGTACTAAGGGTCTGAAGGAACTCTCCTTGTCTTGGCTCCAGCCGACTGGGGTGCTCCTCCTCCATGTTGCTCAATGAAACCTGCATTTTATCTTATCTTACTCTTGTCCTTAGCACCCTCTTGTAATTACTATTTATATGTTACTGCAGGAAATGCCATGTCATATCCATCTTTTTTCATTCCTAGGACCAGCACGGTATCTGGTAGAACGAAAACATGAAGTAGAGCTTGTGTTGTGGCTAACACTCTCCAGGACCTCCGTGATTACACCCACGCAGGGTCCATCCCCTCCCCTCGCTTGCACAGACACCTGAGCTCCCAGACACAGGGAGCTGTCAAATCATCTGGGAGCAGGAAGGTCACAAGAGAAAACCAGTCATAGCACTGGTTACCTTCCAAAACTTCAACACTCTTGGGAAATGCCCCTGTATAAAATTTCTCATAAGAGGTACCACATCTGGTGTACCAAGTTTAGAGCTCGGTACAACCTTGAGGTGAAAAAACAGGACTTATAAAATATAACAGAAGAAAAAAAGGACAAATCATAGAAAGAGCAAGCATGTTCAGAGTGCATTCTGAAACACATCCACCTGAAACCTAAAAATGCCAACACTGTCTTTTTAAAATCCATACATGAAACAATAGGCACAAAAAAATGATTACATGGTTAAAAATCAATTTTTATATCTAACTCATGCATAAGAGAAGTTTAGAATTACATTTCTAAAATTGATTTAAATCTAATAAGCTTTCTGTGTTTTTATTTTCCACAACCATTAACTGGGACACATTATACGACAGTAAAGAGCATTTGGTGCCAATCTGCCACCAAACAATGATGAGCATAACATATCACTAATTACCTGCACACTTCTTACAGATGACAACACAGAGATTGATGGATGCCCAGTCAGGATCTGGGGCTTTACAATCTGCACAGCTCCTGTTGGACTCATTGAACCAAATCTTCTCAGCTACTTCATAATCAGAGAGAGTTTCTGCTATCGACTGCTGCACAGCTTCAATCCACTCTTGTTTCTCCTTTACAGACTCGGCTATAAAGCTGAAAAAATTAACGCTCCTGCATTATCGATCTCCCTTGTAAAGGCCAATTAAGCACTATGTGTGGTTTGCATATTCATTTCAGTCACAAATTAAACAGCAGCTAAAAAATATGCCTTCCAGGCAGTTGGATAGTCTTTTCTGTTAGAAATCATCTAATTTAGAAATCTGTATTTTTTTCCTTTAACTTTTCACACCACTTATGACTCTGTTTACATATCTGGAAGCAAAATTAACATACATATTTTTCTGACCAGGATATAAAAATTGTCTTGTTAGGTCAAAAGCTTAAATGAGAGTCCATGTTTTCTAAGCAGTGCTTATATAATAATCAATAGGAGACTGGCAGAGTTTCAGAACTATAGGATTGTTTTGCCAAGAAAGAATGTCATGATGTCTGAAACTAAACTATCAAAAACACACAGCAGTATTAAAAATAGATTCTTTTTTTAATTAGAAGAATGTACAGATGGCTTTAAGAAACTGAGAAATCAAAAAGTTTTAAGTGATTACTATTCTAACAGAATTCTAACTCATTTTTAGCCATGTTTTGATTTATTCTAATTCTTAGTGTCTACTGGGTGCCTGAGTGAAAGAATAAAAATTAAACATCAGTTTCCTAAGCTCCTTTAAGAAATATTTACTGGGTACCCACAATGTGGCCAGAAAAGCACTACAGAGCTCCCTACTCATCAGTGACCCACAGAGTGATGCTTTAATTTAAAATTTTCTGTACTAAACATGAAAATGCTTTGAAACATAATGAAAATAACAGATGACTAACATACTCTAAACAATCTGTAAGAAAGCCGAGTGGCCTACATGGGTATTTGTCGAAGTTCTTTATGGTCCAAGCCTCGCTATTTATAGGTTTTTGCCCTGGCTGGTTGGCTCAGTGGATTGAGCGCCAGCCTGCAAACCAAAGCACTGCCAGTTTGATTCCCAGTCAGGGCACATACCTGGGTTGTAGGGCCTGGTCCCCAGTAAGGGACGCATGAGAGGCAACCACACACTGATGTTTCTCTCCTTATCTTTCTCCCTCCCTTTCCCTCTGTCTAAAAATAAATAAACAAAATCTTAAAAATACATATATTTATAGGTTTCTTAGCAGTTTCTGTTTCTTCATAGAGATTGGTCACAATCAATAAGGTACAAGGGAAACCAGAGGTTCCGTCTTTGCCCGTTCCGAGTACATAGCTCTAAAACTACTGAACTGACACAACTGTCTTTTGTACGCTAGTGAGGTCACTTGAGGCTAGGAGCCTAGACTGGAGCTGGACACCAGAAAGACCAAGGCGTGATTTCGAGAGCGGGAACTTCTGGCCAGCCCCACCCTGGCCTCTCTCTGGGAAGGGGGAGGGCTGGCAGTTGAGTTAATCGTCAATGGCCAAGGATTTCATCAATCACGTCTATGCAGTGAAACCTCCCTAAAAACCCCTGAACAACAGGGTTCAGAGAGCATCCAGGCTGAACACAGAGGAGCTGGGAGGGCGGTGCACCCAGAGAAGGCACAGACGCTCCCCTGCGCAGCTCTCCCATCTGGCCTTCCCTGAGTTGCTTTCTTTAAAATAAACTAGTAATAATAATTATACTGTTTCCCTGAGTTCTATGACAGTGCTAGTAATTTATCAAACCTGGGGGAGAGGGGCCACGGGAACCTCAATTTATAGCCAATGTGTACAGAAGTGTGAGAAACCTAGGGCCCCAATACTTGCAACTGGTATGTCAAGGGCGATCTTGTGGGACTGAGCCATTAAGCCTGCGGGTCTGATGCTCACTCCGCTACGGCAGAACAAAAGTGAATTGTAGGACATGCAGCTGGTATTTAGAGAGCTGGAGAATAGGCTGGTATGAGGAAAACCCCACATATTTGGTGTCAGAAGTGTTGTGAGTAAAAACAGGTGTGTCAATGTCTACCGTTTCAGTTGAAGCATAAATCTGCAGATGTGAAAATAAAGCTTATTATTCTTTGTCATCTTTTCTTAAAATTTGAGCCAGCAGACGTATTTTGACAGATAAATTAACTACTAGACTTGAGGGTATTTTTGAAATGGCTAAGTAATTGTTAGTCCTTAAAGACCTCCAAAAATTGCCTTTGACCTTTATACTACACTGTGATATGTTGACTATTTATGACAAATGAATTAATATGGTTGAACTCAACAGATACTGACTTAGGCCTCCTCTGTGTTCTAAAGCTTTGGAGTCATTATAGATTATTCCAACAAATACCAAAAGCATATATTAAGTTTTCTGTTTCACTGTCAAAATGAATAATTCCTAGAATACCATACAACAAGACATATAACAAAGTGCTAAAATATTTGATTTGTAAGTGCAAGAAGACCCATTAAATTCAACATCATTTTAAGCTAAAGTTTCTTTTATGAAATCATTACAGAACATTTATAACTAGGGACTGATCTTAAAGGAGGGATTAGGCTAAAAGAAGGTAAATAACACAGCTTCAAGACAAGGTAATACTCTTTTTATTTTAGTCCTTCAAAATGTGAAGTTCGCATATATTTGTTGATAACAAATACTGAATGTGCTCATTAAAGCTACTACGAAAAAGAGGTGTTAAGAAAAGAAACAGCTCAAATTTCATGAAATTAGTATCTCTGAGAGTTTTGTGATAATTCAAGTCATTTTTACAAAGTGTTTACATATACTGACCAAGAAATTAAATAGTATGGAAAAGTAAAAACATTATTTTATTAAATGTTCTCTAAGAAATAAAATCACCACTAGCAATGTAAAAGTGACTCCCTACAGCTTTCCTGTAGTTAAGTGTACAAACAGAAAATGTTTAAATACAGCTTACCTAAAACTCCTATAAGGAGTGATTATTTCAAAAGATTGTTTCACAGTTCGATCCGCTTGCTTTACGTTTGCTACATTCAGAGGAATTATTGTAATACCAAATCCACTCTTAAAATCCTAAAGAAAAATATAAAAAAATGATAAATATGAGTTTAGAAGTGCAATTATATTCTCTAAAACCCAATAAATTCTATTAAATTGTACTACACACATTATGGAATTAAACAATTCCTTTAAAAAACACATTCAGTAGTTTTCGTATTTTATGTAGTCACTTTCAAAACATGAGAACAGGGTGCCATTCTGAGAGTGACCGTGAGGCTATTATTAACATATGGGTTTCTTTCGCATGAAACCTGAGTTGAGTACGACATAGATCCTGAGCCACACGTGCCTGGCTCTTAGAAGATGGGCACTTTTTCACCTTTATTACCACATACCCAGCAGTCTTCTAGGTGGGGGACCAAATCACACTGTGTGGTTGCTATAATTACTATTTACATAAAAAGGAGAGGTCAGGGCTCAAAAAAACAAAGTTACATGGAAAGTGAAGTTGTACATGGTAAAAAGGGACAGACACCAACCATCTGCCTGTTCTTCCTTTGTTTTAGCAAAAGATATTACCTCTGTTCTGTCACATCATTTTTCTCATTTACTCTCCAACAAAGGCGTTCCTTATTTGACAATTTCATCTCATTTCCAATATTTTATTATACTCCTCTTTCTTCAGTTAGATTCTGAAAAAGCTCCTCTACTACTATTTTGTTATGAAAAGTGCCCTTTTTTCAACACCTACAGCCACAATGTTTGGTGGCTCTCCCCACAATTAGAGATTGTTCAAAAAGCTACACAGTCTGCATTTTAAAAGCATTAAAAGGTTGCAATATTGTCTGGTCATAACGGCTTGGGAATTTGATTTATCAAATAAATAGTGTCAACATGTTAAAAATACAATTAATCTGCACTTCAAAATATGAAATATCTGTAGGAACAGATGCAGAATACATGTGCTCTGAATTCCTAAATTAAATTGCGACTGGCAACGTAGCCATCCAAAAGGCTACAACCAACACCGGTCCCCCTGAACGGAGGACACTTCCCACAAAGCCTGTGAAAGTTACCAATCTCCAGCTGCCTTCTCTTCGCCTCTTCCTGCTACACAGGCCAAAAGTGAAAGTACTGTTTTCCCCTTTGCCCTTTCAGGTGGGAGGCAGGGGCCCTAAGTCATAGTTTCAGTCAATAAAATATAAATAATTCCTGGCCTGGGGTAGAAGGGTGGAGGGAAAAGCTTTGGAAAAAGAAAGACTTGCGCCCCTTGCCTTTCCATCTTCTTGGGAAATAACAGCTAGATGCACAGAACCCACTGCAGAACGTGAGTGTCCTTGTGATGAGAAGCCCAAGGACAAATTCTTGCACTCCAAGGGCGCCAGAGGGAGTGAAAAAATGGAAAGGGCCCTGTCCCTTGGCGTCCTCCGCTCCCCATCGCCTGCACTGAGATTTGTCAAAACAACTAAATCCCTATCTGCTGAAGCTGTCCTTCGGGTCTTTGATACTAAATGCATTCCTGACATAAAAATGAGTGAAATAAAATAATAACAGATTTTCCCCTGCTTGTAAAGGTATCTACAGGTTCCATCACAAATTGCAGAAAAGTCTCCTCATTTTTTTTAAATGTACAAGTTTTTAGTTAGAATATGATTCATAAAATAAATCATCAATTTTTTTCTTCCTGATGAAACAACAAAAGGCTCATTTTGTTAGGAGAAACAAGCAAAAATTGAGAGTCAGAAATATAAAGAGACAGAGACACGCTAAGTGTTATAAAATAGTTAGAAGAATGTTGTATACTTTCACTTTGTACAGTAAGACCACTTAACAAAAATTAGTACTTAATGGAATGTATACAGATAGAAGAAAGGAATCAAACGTTCCCAACCTGCCCCATTTTAATTTAATGTTTCAGCATATTGGTCCAGTGTTATGCTTACTAATTAAATTAAAAACAAATTCTCAATTATCCATACCAATGGACCTGCTGGATACTGTAACTGTTAAAGAAACCCCGCAAAGCAGGGAAACTCAGCTCCCTTTTATAAATGAGTAAATAAAGTAGGGGTAGCAAGATAAGATATTTTACAATAGGTTTCTGATGGCTCAGCTTGACAGAAAGATGACTCTAGAATAAAAGAGTTAAACCGCATGTTCTGACAGGAGGTGAGTATCAGATCACTGTGGGGTATATTCTCCGATGGGGGTCTGGCCTGAAGGTACTGCATATTTCTAAGGGCGCAATACACACTCAGACTGTCAGACTAGTAGACGGTCAAGCTGACAACCTTTATGAAAACGGATGGGCCTGAATACATGGCCCTTCACATCTATAAGCAAGTCATGAAATGTCTACAAAACTGAAATTTCTGTTAAAAACCAAAGAAGTGAGGGTCAGCTCAAGGCCCCAAACTTCTCCCGAGCAAGGCAAAGATAACTTTTTAGCCTGAAAAAAAAATTGCAACCCATTTATCAGCCGCTTGCTATGGCCGTATGGTTTTCAGTAATTTGAGTATCCACTGAACTCACCAGCACAAATGGACTGTGTAATGTACCACAGAGGAACAAAACAAATGTCAGCGCTCTCGAGGGGGCTATTAAATAAGAAACGACTGTGTTCCCTATTAAAAATATTTGTGGTGACATTAAGCCATCTTTTCAGCCAGTATTTAGAGCGTATTTAGAATATATCTATCATTCCCTGATGCTCATCAAAGTCACTTGTGTTGGTCTGATCCTCCCACCTTGAAATTCTGATTCCATGAATCAGAAAGCAGAGCCTAAGAATCTCCAGTTAAAAAGCAAAGCAAAGCCACAGCCCTGTGATTCTCGCACGTAGCCAACACTGAGGCACACTGAATTAGAGGGCAGAACCAGCTACGGGCTCTAGACAGTTTGAATCTGCAGTATTTAAAGATCAGGATATACACACTTCTCTCCACTGTACAGCAGAAAAAAGCACATGATCAGATCATAGAGAAATCATCTGAAATCATTAAGACTACGGACTAATAACAGCCTGGCCAGAACTCAGGGACACTTTGGATCTCATCAAGGTCTGGCGCGTCCTGGGGGCCAAGCCCTGTGCGAATATCCAGGGGCTCCGGGAGCCTCACTCTTCACTGAGCCCACACAGAACACGCCATCATCATCAGTTTAGCATCTCTCCGCGGAGTGCCCTGAAGCGGACCAACAGCTGTGAACTCTCACTTGACTTTCTGAATAATTCTGTGAAGAAGGCAGAGCAGGTATACCCATTTTTGAAATAGGAAAATTTGTCCTGGCAAACAGTGTTTATTAAGTACTCAGCAAGTGCCAGACATTGTGCTAAGTCCTGGGTCCGCCCCAAAGCAGAAGACAGGATACCGGCCTTGGGGAACTTTCACTCTAAGGAAGGAATGAGGGAGAACTGTAATAAGTCAGCGGAAAAAAGCAAGTGCATAGATGCCTGTAAGGTAAGCACCAAATTCAGCTAAGAAGAGTTGTGTTCATAGGAGGCTTTCCAAAGGCAGTGACACTCGGCTGGACAAATGACAAGACCCAGGCCAGCTTGAAACAATATACCTCTCTTGCTTCAGTGCACTCATTTGTAAAATGGGGATAATAGATAGCAGTGTCTATTGCATCACTGAGGGGAGCATTCAATTCATACATTAAAAATGCAGAGAGGAATACGGTAAGTGCCACATAGTCCTATTTAGCAATTGTTATTATTACTGTTATTTTCTACCTCTTTAAGTATGAAGCCAATTGAACGTATTCCCTACTAAAGAGTTAACTACAAAAAAATACATGTATAAAAATAACAAGCATATACACATTTTAAAAGTGGGAAGTAACATGAATTTTAAACTTTCAAGAAACTTTAAAATAAATTACCCACTGACAGCAAACTGACTGCGAGCACTATTCCCACTCTGAAAAACAGGCACAAGTCAGGAACAAGCCCAGCTTCCAACCTTTAAAATGCTGTGAACTGGACTGATAAAAAGCAATACCATGAAAACCAAATGGCTAGAATATTATTATAGAAAACATAAAGCCAGAAACAGATTCTGGAGTAAATAATAGGTTACAAGTAATCTGCTGTCAGGAAATGTAGGATCTCAGGAAGCGGGAACCCACCTCTCGCACCGCTGTAGCCGCAGCCATGGGTGGACAATGGCAGAGACTAACGACCAAGGGGCCCTGGGAGCCCACGGGGCCACGCGGCTGAGCCACTCACTAGCTGTATGGCTACTGGCAAGGTATTTAGCCTAGATGGCCTCAATTTTCTCATTTCTAAAAGACAGCAATAACTATCTTATATAGCGATGTTATAAAAATGATGACTATAAAATCGAGAGTCTAATACATCCCGACAATCCTTTGGGTGGAGGGTTCTAAAGCCAGACTTTCTCTGCAATAAAAATCTTTCCATTTTATTTACATTGACTGAAGGTATTCACACCAATGCTTCCATATTAAATATCCAGGTTAGTATTAATGGTAAGTATTCACCAAGACACTGAAATGGGTTATTTGTATGAATTTGAAGCAACAAAACCCAGTTGAAACTACATTTTAAAACTATATAGTGAAAGCTGCAAAATAAAGTTTGATGCCTAATCAGAATAAATAAGGGAGGGTTTATTAACCCCAAATTTGCTGAAATCTCAAACCTATTTTGGGAACTACTAGATGCCAAGTTTCCACGCCAGGAATTTTAGAGCTTAGAGCTTAAACGTTTGTTGAAAACAGATGTGGCATTGTATGACACTGGCACCGGGCTTCCTGGGGAACACCAGATGCAGAGTTTGGCCAGACACAGAACCCCGCGAATCTGAGGCCACCGACGACATCCCGCTGCTGCTCTCTGCACCACACAACCCACAGCCCCATGAGGTCTATTTAAATTCTGTCGGAGTTTCAGTCCCAGGCCAGACAGACACCAGGGAGCATTATGCTGGGAGAGTGAGGGGGAATGAGTCTCTCCTTATATCCTGATTTGAGAGTGTTTAAATCAAGTAAATTTATGTAGTTAAAACCTCAGTGCCACAGTAATCATGAAATAGATAGATACACAAATC